CTCGAACCCGCGGGCTCAGGCAATCAACTCACCTCAGCCTCCCAAAGGCGCGGGATGACATGCTGAGGCACCGAGTCCGGCTTACAAATAACTTTTAAAAATTACCTGAGGCAGGGCACGGCGACTCATACCTGTTATCCCAGCACTTTGGGATGCTGGCTTTTGTTCCCACCCTTGTTCCCCACAGTCCGCACCCCTAGAAAAGCGGGTGTAGAGCAAGACACGGGTTCCGGTGCCTACCTAGGCCCAAGGGTTCGAGACCCGCCTGGGCAACCTGGCGAGACCTCATCTCTACAATAAATCAAGAAGGCCGGGCTTGGTGGCTCAGCCTGTAATCCCAGCACTTTGGGAGGCCGAGGTGGATTGCCTGAGCCTGCGGGTTCGAGACCCGCCTGGGCAACTTGACAAGACCTCATGTCTACAATAAATAAATAAATAAAAAATCAGCCAGGCGTGGTAGCGCACACCTGTAGTTCCAGCTACTTGGAAGGCTGAGGCGGAAGGATGACTTGAGCCCAGCAGGAAGAGGCTGTAGTGCCGTGAGCGTGCCACGGCACTCCAGCCTGGGCGAGTGTGACACTCTGACTCAGGAAAAAAAAAAAAAAGAGAATTAGTCGGACATGGTGGCATGTGCTTACAGTCCCAGCTACTTGGAAGGCCAAGGCAGAATAATCTCCTCAGCCCAGGAGGTCAAGGTTGTAGTGACCCTCTGTTGCCACTGCACTCCAGCCTGGGCGACAGAGAGACCCCAAATCTAAGAAAGGTTGTCAAAATCGAATTTCAGTGCCAGGCCTCACTCTGTCAGCTGGGCTGGAGTGCAGTGGCACGATCATGGCTCACCACAGCCTCAACCTCTCGAGTAACTGGGACGACAGGCACGTGCCACCATGCTAGCGGTTTACATGTTTTGTAGAGCCAAGGTCGCACCATGTTGCCCAGGCTGGTCTCGAACTCCTGGGCTCAAGCCATCCTCCAGCCTTGGCCTCCCAAAGTGCTGTGATGACAGCTGTGAGCCACTATATTATACTCTTTATTGAGTGCCTACTGGGTGCCAGCCATCCTGCCATGAGCTGGGTGTAGCATGGAGCATCCCTCCTTGCCCCGGCTTGCGGCAGGCACGATTTTCTAAAGGCGTCCATGCTGGGCACCCTCGCCCTCTGGACCTGGTGACGGGAGCCGCACGGTCTGTCTTGGCCTCGGCTGTGTCCAGGGCCTGGGCTGGCCACCCGTGTGAGCTCTGCAGGGGCTGACGGAGCCTCTGTCCCCAGATCTCCCAGAGCCTGTTCCTGCGCGGCCTGTCCCTGGTGGGCTGGTACCACAGCCACCCGCACAGCCCGGCGCTGCCCTCGCTCCAGGACATCGATGCCCAGATGGACTACCAGCTGCGGCTGCAGGGCTCCAGCAATGGCTTCCAACCCTGCCTGGCCCTGCTCTGCTGTAGGCTTCGGGGGCGGGGCGGGG